TTAAAAACTTCATAATGTTTTCAAGGAAGGTTATGGACAGCTGGGAGTGGTCTCATTTTATAGCCCAGATTTCCTTTACATTAGACTATGTTCAGCTCAAAATGATAACTTTTCTGCAAAAAAGAGGCGAGGGGTACCCTTAATAATATGGTAACATGATTCTTCCGCGAATGGTGCCAGATTGCAGCGTCAGAGTTATCGGATAATCTAACAGCAAGTTGAACTGAACAAGTTTATGTAGATGACCGCAGAGAACGTACAAAAGCCGAAACCAATTTGCCATGCAATCAGTTATAGGGGAAAACTATATTCATCATAGACCATGTATATCATCTGCACTTTTACTGGCGTCATGAGAAAAATGAACTTCTGGCATTTTTCCATATTGCATTGTATTTTCAACGACGAACTACTCCTTATAGATATTTAGCGACTAAGATATTTAAATTTTGCACTGGAACTTTTTTGGGTATTTAAATGTTCACATCAGAGGCTCAAACGAACGAACTTCTTTTTCTTTTTCTTCTAGTAGTAGGGAGAAAATGTAAGAGAGGAGAAGCTCTCTCTTATCGAACTAGGTAAAACTGGAGGAATTTGTACATAAATAGCCGAAGAATATTTCGATAGGTAGCTTCAGTTTTGCTAACTTCAAGGAAACTTCATCTCCACAGGTTGTACAGCGCTCTGCTGCCTCTTTGTAAATATCTAATGTCTGTCGTAAGTATGTATATCTGTCGCAGGTAATGTATGTTTCGTGATATTCCATCCTTACTTTAAAACTAGTATCTTATTATCTCTGGATAATCTTTTTTCCATCACATATCCGTGGGATTTCTCTATCGAATCATATATTTCGAAATTCTCCATCACGTCAGTAAGTATCAACTCACCCTCACCCTCACCTCAACTCTCTACATATTTGGTTTTCTATCGACAAGAAGGATGAAATGATTCAGAGGCGGCGGAATGAATGTGAAGCTGTGGGACTCATTTTTCAATCTCAAAGCTCCAGGTAAATATCAACATATTTTTTGCTAGGACTCACACAACGTTTTAGTTTTGTTCACTTTGGTAGATCACAGTTTTTCTTAACAGAGTACGAAACTGTTTTTCATCGTTTTTTTCTGTATCTTCACTGTTTATATATCGCTCAGCATATACAAATACACATGATCACGGTACAACCGAAAAAATTATTAAACAAATAGCTTTATGTGAAATTCCGAAGAAATGCCTGCTTAAAGTTGTGGGGCCTATAGCTCACATGGTTCCGCGCCTCTGAAGTGATTCAAGAAACCATCGAATAACTTTTCGAACTGCAAGTTCAGGACGTGTGCCTTCGCGCCCCAAAAAAGAGCCTACGAGAGTTAGCAAAGATGGCATAACAAAAACAGTGCTTGACTTGGTATTCACTAGTTCTGCTACCTTCATAAAAAACGTTGAAGTTGAGGACGTTTTGTACAAAAATTGTAGCCATAAAAATGTAAGAGTTGTGCCTGCAACTGATGCGGCTCGATCGCCATCATTAACACGTAAAACTTACAACTACTCTTCTACTGACTGGAACTATTTTCGTCACTAATTGGTAAAACTGCTTAATACTGTTGCGATTCTCTTCTACAACTCGACTTGTGTGAATGAGAAAGTAACAGTATTAGAGAATTGTGTAACGAATGTAGTAGATAAATGTGTTTCTTCAAAAATAGTTCGTATATTTTCATTAGATCAGCCATGGTTTACTCAAAAGTTAAGACAACTTTCTCGACAGAAAAGACGTTTATATCGAAAGCAAAAACAAACTAATTTCTCAGTATCTAAGAGTAGCTATCGTATTCGAAAAAGCATGTGCAGTTGAGAAAGAAAATTATCTGGAAAAAATACGTCAAACTAATGCATCAGAAAATCGTAGTGAAATTTAGCCAAAACATTATTTCGACGGTGTCGCTCTTCGTAAAAGAGAGATCAGAATAATGAGGAATGGTCCGACGACAAAATGAAAGCACATGTTCTTAAACAACATTTTGTTTCCATATGTACCATGACTACGGCCGATTATGACAAAGCTATTCCATTTGATAAGCTCAATCTCTCAACTCCTACATTAGATCCTTTTACGGTAACCACTAACGAAGTTGAAAAATGCTTAAAAGCGATTGACGTTAGTAAAGCCACCAGCCAAGGCATAAGTTCAAAAATTTTAAAAGAAGCCGGGCCAGTTATTGTTGAAGACTTAAAATACATTTGTAATTATTCTCTTTCGTCAGGAGTTTTTTCGGAAAAATGGAAAATTATCCACTATCTAAAGATGGAGCGACAACTTTAGCAACAAATTATAGACCTATCACGCTCCTTCCTTCTATCTCTAAACTTTGTTTTGATTTATTTCCATCGGAGTTATAGCAAGGGCGTCTCACTGCGAAATTGCAACTCCCTACGATTTCGTTAGGACGTGTATATTACTTTGTATTATCAACAATAAGCAAAACATGATGCTGCCACACACGTCGACCTTCCTCATTGTGTACATGGACTTGATTCTACAAAAGAATCAACTGTGGGTTTCAGATTGAGGTTTTTCGAAATGTTGAAGATATAGTGACTTTTAAGAAGCATCATGGAAAATGAAGTTCTTCACTTCTCTTGTTTGTATAACGGGACACTTGTCCCTGAGTGAAGTTGCTTATTTTATTACTTTTACGCTTTCACACGTAATTCATTTGTTAAGTGACCGCTTGAAGCAACAAAATCCATAGCCTTCAGCCGACAATCGCACCTCAACATAGTCAATGCAACATAGTTGCTTTTCTTTCTTTATGCCACCACAATGAGGAAGTCACAATAGAGAAAAACGATAGAAGTATATTATCATCAACCTGCCCTAATCATTACTTCGTTTTGTTCCTTTTTTCCATGTATTAACCTACACTAAGAGATAATAATATTATATGTAGAATTTTAATATTATATGTAGAATTTTGTTATCATCACTCTTCGTTTTCTTTCTTGTCTCCTACATATATCAGTAGAAAAACTCTGTTTTAGTAAGGATGTGTGTATACAAAATAAAAGAAAGAACCGAATTACTGCGAAGTAACAGAAATAAATGTGTGTTTTTACAAAACATATTTCCTTCTAAAAAGCACAGCCATAACCTGGAAAAATCACAGACATGAAAGGACACGTAACAATACTACTGATAATGTTACTAGCCGTGTGTGCTCCGGTCAATGGAAATCGTCCGTTTTATGTGATTGCACATATGACAAATGATAATCGTTCAGTTAATTGGGCTGTGAAAAGTGGTGCAAACGGTGTTGAAATCGATCTACGTTTCAAATCCGACGGTATACCAGACTCATTTCGTCATGGTGGTATTTGCGACTGCACTGCTCCGCTACCTTTCGGCGATCACGTCTGTCGTCGTTATAATTCGGCTAAATCATGTCAAGCCTCATCATCTGTTAAAGAAATGCTCAATTATCTAGCTACATTTCCCTCATTGGCATTGATCATTCTAGATACAAAATGACTGGTAAAGAATCTAGCTCAACGCAACGCTCAGCAGGTATCAATGTCGTCAAATTACTGGACAAAGAACTTTTCGCCCGGAAGTATAAAGGGAACGTTATTATTGCTGCACCACTGTAAGCCTTGTTTTCTTGTCCGTTGGTCAGTGAACAAATGTTATATTGTGATTTCTTCTGAATTCACCTTTTAATATCCAAAGATGCAAATAACTGATACACTCACACTTTATTATAAAAAATC